ACCTAGATGCTCCCCTCACACCCATCACACCCTGTTTCTCCCCCATCAGACACTGCGCTCTAATTGCTGGTGTGACCAAGCTAGACTATAGGCTCCTTGAGAGAGGAGCTCTGCCTGTTGTTCATTAATGTAACTCCAGAATCTAGAACAGGGCCTGGCCCTTGGTAGGAACCAACAAACACTTGCTGAATGAAAGAAAGAGTAAGTGAATGAATGCTTTTATCGTGGGAGCTCTGGGGAGCCATGGAAGGGTTTTTAATCTATTTAGATTTGCTCTGGGAAATGTCCCTTTGGCAGCACGGTACCAAAAAGAGGGGTCCATTCTCACTTATTTTATCCTTCTGTATTGATAGCTGAGCATCTGGGTTTGCTTAAAAGGAATAAGGGTACAGACTGATTAGAATGGAAGAGATTGGAGGCAGGAGATCGATGGGGTGGTTGTTGCAATAATTCTAGGGGAGATGCTGGTGGATGGTCAGGGTGGTGGCTGCAAGGGTTGGAAGAGGGGGCAGATTTAAGAGATGACCAATCGGAATGACTGATGGAAGGTGAGAAGTTGGGAGCAGGCAAAGATGACCCCAGGATAGCCTGTGGGGTCTTGGTGGGGAAAGAGGAGAGTAGTGAAGGGGAAAGACTGAGTTGGAGTCCCCTCCAGACCCTTCAGGACCCTCCTGAGGGGCTGCCCTCCACACTGGCCACCATTCTAGACTTTGGTCAGAGTAACAAGACAGAAGAGAGTGCTCTGAGACAATATGCAGCTGATCATCACATGAGACCACATGGATTTCTTTTCCTTCCTTCTTTTCCTTTATCCATTTCTTTGTATTCAAAGCAAGCAGCATGGCAGCAGATGCTTGGAGTTTCTTCCCTGCCTATCGATATGCAGTAATGTTTGGAATAAGTTGATTGGATCTAGCGTTTTCCCAGTTCTCACTCATTAAAGCTTCTCTCATTAGACATAGGAGTCATTCATTTCTTCATCGAGAAAACCACATTCCAGAGGGCTGGATGGAAAGGGTTTGAGGTTGGGCTTCATTAGGCTGTGGGCTGCCAGTAGAATGTCTTGTGGCTTGAACTAACCTCAGTGAGATGATACAAACCCAACTTGAAGGAGGCGGGGACTAGTTTGAGGGGATCTGGAGGTGCTGTAGATGCAGGTGGACCACGCCACAGAGAGGAACTGGATGAGGGTGGGGGATGCGTTGCTGATAGATGAAACCGAAGAGGGGAACAGGATGGAACTGAGAGGGACGCACAGAGCTGTCCAGAATTTCCAGCCTGCATCTTATGCCATGCATGCTTTCATCACCTCCACCTGGAGCACCAACATTTCCCCCTCCAGAGGATGAAGAGGGAGTGATTATGGTGGCTGGCTAAGTAAGTCTGAAATCCAGTAGGGAAGGAAGTCAGGAAGAGAAGATCCCGTGTGAGCTTAAATCCACAAACAAGGGCTGAAGCTGTCATCCACTGGCAAACACGAAGGGGAGGTGATGATCAGAACAGAACTCCATAGGCACCGGCCAGAGGTATGGTCCACAGGTGGAATTTCTTCTCTCCAGAGCTGCCTGTTCAGCCACTAATACATTGCTTGTTGGGGGTGTGTGGAAATGGGGGAGACCCTGGTTTGGATGGCAGGAAACCTGGGCTTGGATGGCCTCCAGTGTCCTGTGGCAAATTCACCTTTCAGAGCCTCAGTTTTCTTGTCTGATAGGAGAGATGGTAGATTCAATGATCTCTTTAAAAAAAATTTCCAAGTCTGAGAATTCTATATAACTTGCACTTGGGTATTTCCATTTGGGGGTGGAGGAGAAAGAACAGTGTTATCTGTCTGGAGGAGCCAGGGCCCAGCTGAAGGACAGTTGCAAAAGGCTCTTACTGTTTTTGAAGGAGAAGAGAAAGCCAGAATTTCAAGGCTCATGAATCGAGGCTCATCCACAGAGGTGTCCTAGGGAGTCAGGGAGTTGTTGGTGGCGAGGGGGCTGGGGAGCAGGGCCAGGACTAGGATGAGGCTACATCTGAATCACTGGGATTACAATACAGAGGGGCGCTGTTTCAGTTGGCTTCACATAGGGCACCCCCTGGGGCACACAGTTTAAGAAGGCATCCCTTTTCTCCACATCCTTGCCAACACTTGTTCTCTCTTGTCTTTTTGATGACTGCCATTCTAACAGGTGTAAGGTGACATCCTATTGTGGTTTTGATTTGCATTTCCCTGATGATTAGTGATATTGAACATCTTTTTATGTACCTGTTGGCCATCTGTATGTCTTCTTTGGAAAAATGTCTATTCAGCCCTTCTGCTCATTTTAAAATCAGATTTTGTTTTTCAATTGAGTTGTATAAGTTCTTTATATATTTTGCATATTAACCCCTTATCAAATTAATGATTTGCAAACATTTTCTCCCATATGTTCCATGTGTTGCCTTTTCATTTTATTGATGATTTCTTTTGCTGTTCAGAGCTTTTTAATTTTATGTAGTCCCACTTGTTTATTTTGCTTTTGGTGTCAAATCCAAAAAATCATTGCCAAGGCCAGTGTCAAGGAGCTCACTCCCTATGCTTCCTTCCATGAGCTTACAGTTTCAGGTCTTAAATATAAGTCTTTATTCAATTTTTGAATTGTTCTTTGTGTATGGTGTAAGATAAGGGTCCAGTTTCATTCTTTTACATATGGCTGCCCAATTTTCCCAACACCATTTATTGAAGAGACTATCCTTTCCCATTGTACATTCTTGCCTCCTTAGTCACAAATTAATTGACCATGGCTTTACGTCTGGGCTCTCTATTCTGTTCCCCTGGTCTAAGTGTCTGTTTTTATGCCAATGCCATACTGTTTTGATTACTATAGCCTCGTAATACAGTTTGAAATCAGGTTGCGTGCTACCTCCAGCTTTGTTCTTCCTTCTCAAGAATGCTTGGACAATTTGGGGTCTTTTGTGGGTCCATACAAATTTTAGGATGGTTGTTCTATTTCTAAGAAAAATGCCATTGGAATTTTGATAAAGATTGCATTGATTCTGTAAATTGCTTTGGATAGTATGGACATTTTAACAACGTTAATTCTTCCAATTCATGAGCACAAAATATCTTTCCTTTTACTTGTGTCTCCTTCAATTTCTTTTAACAATATCTTATAGTTTTCAGTGTACAAGACTTTCACCTTCTTGGTTAAATTTATTTCCACATATTTTATTCTTTTTGATACAATTATAAATGGTATCACTTTCTTAATTTCTCTTTCTGATAGTTCATTTTTAGTGTATATATAGAAACACAGTAGATTTTTGTATATGGATTTTGTATCCTGGAACTTTACTGAATTCATTCGTTCTAACAGTTTTTTTAATGGCGTCTTTAGGGTTTTCTAGATAAAACATCACGTCATCTGCAAATAGTGACAGTTTTACTTCTTCCTTCCCAATTGGATCCCCCCCACATTTTTTTTCTTGCCTAATTGCTGAAGCCAGGACTTCCAGTGTTGTGTTGAATAAAAGTGGTGATAGTGGACATCCTTATCTCGTCCCTGATCTGAGAGGAAAATTTCAGCTTCTCACCACTGAGTATGGGTTAGCTGTGGTCTTCATTTTTCTCTCATAAACTCTTCCCATATTGTTATAGGCCTTTGGTTAATTTCTAGAGTTCTAAAAGAGTTGATTCTGACAATTCTTTTTGGTCAGTTTCCTCACTTCTATGGAGGAGAGAATTTCCAGGGTCTTTGCCATTTTCACCAGCATCATCTGTGCTATATTTGAAATGCCTTTCTATGTAATTGTCTTCTTAGTTATCAAAATTCAGCTCAAATGTCTTCTCCATTGTGGATCCTTCCCTGCGTCCTCTGGGCAAAGGAGTCAGCCACTTTTTTATTCTCCTGTACCTCTGTGTTCATGCCTCTGTGATTTCACTTTTCGCAAACCGCAGACATTTATACCCGTTCCTGTCTCTCCTCCCAGCCTACAAGCTCCTAGCCTGTGTCTCATTCATTCCCCATGCCCGGGTTAGTTCCTGACACACGGTGAGTCTTCACATCTGTAGGCTGGAGAGTATTGTCCGAGGACAACTCAGAGCCCAGCCAAGGGATTCTCAGCTCTTGCCACCGTGTCTGAGTATATGAGGGAAATAGGGAGCAAAAAGTAAAAATAAAGCCTGTGTGGGTGAGGTTCAACAGTAATAATAATAGCAGTTAGTTTTTACTAAATAATAAAAATAATAATTACAATAGCAGCTAACATTTACTGAATAAAATACCAGGCCAAGAGCTTTATATTCAATAGCTTATTTAACTCCAGCTTCAGCCCTAAGAGACAGGTACTATTATCCTAACTTTACAGGTGAGGCTGAGGAAGGGAGGTAGCGGAACTGGGGTTGCATGAAGGCCCGACTCTATAAAGCTCAGTTCTTAACTGCCCCATCTGAGGGGTCTCGGAGAGGCATGTGGAGGAGGGGGAGCCACGCCAGCCTTCCCCTTCCCGGGGATCTGTCTGCCTCTTTGACTAAAGGACTGTGGCTCCCAGGTGTGTTTGGCCCATCCTGGCCTCAGCTGGGCCCCTGGTGCTCCGAAGCTCCTGCAGTCACTGGCCCCCAGGGCAGCTGGGCCGAGAGGCCCCACTTCCCTGCATTGGGGTGACAGGTGCAGCCCTGAGAAGAGAGGTGACAGTGATCCCTCATCATCGTCCCAGTTCCAGCCTGATGACAGCCCCAGACTGCTGGGAAAGCCAACCCACGCAGAGGCGAGACACAATCCCGAGGGCTCAGAAACATTTCAGCAAATGCTAATATCAGTCTCTCAAATCCAGCCCTGTCAGCAGGAAGGGGGGACTGTGTTCGCATGCATGGGGCACACTTTTTGGCCCAAGGGACCTGGTTGCTAAGCAGCAGTAGCTGGCCTCCCCTCCTCCCTGTAACCTTTTTCTCTGCTTCTAAGCTTCCAGTTAGCAAACGGGAGGGTCGCCTTTCCTGCAACAAGAGATCTATTCATGGTTTCTGAGCAGAGTTCATTGTCTCTCTGGGTGTGTGTGTGTGTAGGGGGGTGATGAAGGGAGGAGCCATGTGTGAACTAGGGAGGCCTCACCCTCCAACCAACTGGCTGGGATATTTATCAATGCTGATCCAAGACCAGGAGTGGAACGCTGCCCAGCAGACCCTGAGGCTTTACATCACTGCCACTGTCCCCTATGGTAAGGCTGCACCTCTGTGCCATCCTGATCGGGCCTCTCTCTCTTTCTACCCTGACCCTTGACCCCACCCTTGGGATGCTCGGCTCTCGGAAAAAACCTTCTCTGGCAGTTCCTGTGCAGGGACTAGATCTTAGAGGGGACCCTGTGTGGCCAACCTGCTGGCTTTGTTTTCCCCCAGGGCTGACTTATTCCTTGCTCTTGACCCCCACGTGCCTAGCCAGGTGCTCTACTCACAGGCAGTGCTTAGCAAATCATGGCTGCATCGAACTCCTACTCAAAAGGGGGACCAAGAAGTCCTGTAGCATCAAGACCATTTTCCCAGGCTAACCACGTGAGCTAGGACAAGTGAGTGTGGAGGTGGGGCAGCACTCGAGGTGAGGTCAGTTTGTTCAGTGGCTGAGCTTCAAGCCAGGCTCCCTGAGTGTGCCCTGGAATCCTCTCTCGACCAAGCCATGTAGCCTGGGAAGGGTGGTCTGCAGAGAAGATGGGAGTTACTTCAACTTTAGGGGGCTCTGTCTACTTCACTGGATTATAAATTCATTGAAGAATCCAGAGCTTATACATATTTCATTTTATATATTATATTAGTATATATTATTATACTTAATACTTATGTTGTACTTTATAAAACACTCTCAATCACATAAGCTTGTTTAGTTTCTTCCTTCCTCCCTCCCTCCCTCCACTATCTGTCTCCCTCCCAAATTCCTCCCTCCCTCCATTCCTTCCTTTCTTCCTTCCTTCCTTCCTTTTTCCCTTGTATTTAATATGCATTAACTGAATTCCCACATTGTGCTGGGCCTTGAGCTAGACCCTGGGATTTCTAGACCAGAGAGGAAGGAGAGAGAGAAGGAAACGAGCATAATATTGGGTCACAGTTGTGGCCATGTGGTTTGAAGAAAGCTTCCAGGAAAAACGGCATTTGAGCTGAGTCCGTATGTGGGGAAGGGGACAGCAGGTG